CATTCCCTTCAAAAACAAACGTAATCCACTGCGTCTTCAGCGGCTCAGATGTCGGGAGTAAATGACGAATGCTATGTTCATTATTACATCCAACAACAGAACACCTCAATCACTTAGGAGTCATTCTTGTCTACATCAATGTCGGACTGATGACAGCTCACTCAGGGCGGGTCTAAGGTAAGACACCAGTCCAGTCTGTGCTGAAACGCTACTGTCAATCAAACTATCGTGGGAGGGGCCTGTTTTTGACGTCACACAGACAGGCATCTGAGATCGGCTCGATTTGAGAAAGGGGTAAAGATTTTAGTAGATTAAAAAAAACCACTGGGTGGATTTTTATCATTATAGGGTTGTTGTGTACACACACTGCCAACACACATTTCAGTTCAAACAACTTGTAAAAGTGCATGTAGCATCCGATGACCCCTTTAATACTTTGTTTGGAGATCTGTTGTTTAAATTATTACTTGCTGCTAGGAAGGAATATTTTGTTGTCTACCTATTTCTACTTTGTATTTTCGTTGTAGTTTGTATTTTTGATTGCACTTACTGGTAATTATAATAATTGCCGTCGGCTAAGAATGAGCCCGTGTTATTTGCATTGCTCTCTTCCTGCACTTAAGTGCGAACTGTAGTTTAGATTTTATTTTTTCACTTCAGTCTCTTAAGCCGGGCTCACACTGTGCGATTTTTTTTAAAAGGTCCTTTAGGATTGTACTTGTCAGACAGTACGAACATGATGATCATGTCACACTGTGGGATCCCAGTTGTCATTAATGTCAGACTGTACGACAGTCAAGACGCGTTAAAAACGGGTTCCGCGCAAGAAAACTTGTCCGGAGTTTTTAGTTTTGTCTAATTGACAGGTTTTATTTTTCTTATCTCTTACTTAATTGGCTAAGAAATCAAATACACTGATGGGCAATTACCAAAAATTTGTCTCAAGGTCTGCATTTAAAGTCACACCAGAGGTGTTCAGCTGGGATTAGGACTTTGCTTTCTGCAGACCAGTCAAGTTCTTCCACACTGACTGAATCAATAATTTCTTCTTGAACCTTGCCTCATACACAGAGGCATTGTCATGTTTAAATAGAAAAGGGTCCTGTCCAAACTGCTGCTATAAAATCTGAAGCACACAATTCCCTAGAATATCATTATATGCTTAAACATTAAGATTTTTACTCATGGAAATGACTAAAGTAGATAGTAGATAGTATATATATAATGGAAGTCTGTAGCATAAGGCTTGTCCAGATGAATGTTGAAGTTACCAAAGACTAAAAGTGGACTGCCATCCTCCGGGAATGAGGACTACATTTTTGGTAATTGCCCATCAGTGTATTTGATTTCTTAGCCAATTAAGTAAGAGATAAGAAAAATAAAACCTGTCAATTAGACAAAAGGAAAAAAAGGTATTATTATATTCAACATTTCTGTCAAATGATGGCTAAGCCCCTGCACAGATCATACATTGTATTTATGCACAGACACATTTTTGTACATTCACCTTGTTTCTACACATTCAGGATAATGTTTTGATTTGTTATGTGTATGTTGCTGTGTTTAGTCATTCTGAATGGATATGTGTACTGTAGTAGTATGTAGCAATCAGCTCAAGGCGGTTGGTTGAGGGAATTTTTTTACATCTGCATGTGGTCCAGTTCATTCACACTGAATTTTTTTTTGTAGTGTGTGCTTTGGTATGCATAAATGTATATAAACTTCTTATATCACTTGGTTCTTTGGTCCTTTTTTGAAAAGACGTCTAAATGTATCTACGCTTGCAGAAAATAGTTTTGTAAGAATCAGTCTTCAATCTGTTGGTTTACTTTGCTGGATATATATGGCAAATAATGACAAAATGAACTTGTCAAACAAGATCAATGGTATATGCTTAATTTCATGATAAGTGTGCAAGTAACTTCATGATAAGAGTGTGATTAATCCAATTAAAAATTTAAATTTATTGACAGCACAAATATATATCTACTATACTATAACTCCTTCCTTGAACCACTCCTTGACAATTCTGGTAGTGTGGCATTTTGCATTATCCTGTTGGTAATGGCCATCACCAGAAGGGAACACAGCTGCCATTAATGAGTGGACTTGGTCCACAACGATGTTCAGATACCTGACAGCTGTCAGGGATTGTGCTTTTGGGATAATGGGACCTAAAGTGTCCCAAGAAAACATTGCCCACATCATAACCGGCCTTTGCTGCCCAGCAGTGCATCCAGGTGCCATAGCCTCTGTTGGTATTTGGCGTATCTGCGCTCAGCCGTCGACGTAATGCAGCCTGAATCTTGATTCCAGGCCACTTTCTTCCAGTCATCCGTGAGACGATCTTGATGATCTCAAGCCTATTTAATGTGTTGGCTATAGTGTGCAGTTAGCATGGGGATCCAGCTAGGTGGTCTGCTATGCAGGCCCATATGCAGAAGGCTGCAATGAACTGTGTGCTGTGACACATTGCCCTGGTCACCACTGTTGTAGCTGCTGGTGATTTATCGCACCGTGGCCCTCCAGTCGCTGTGAACAATGTGTGACAGTCTCCGCTCCACACTGGCATCAATGAGCTGCAGATGACACACGGCTAGACGACGCTTTGTCGTTTGGCCATCCGTGCACCACTTTTTCATACAAAACAGGAAAGATCAGTGGGAAAATGGGAAGATCTCAGTCTCTTTTCTTTATTTTTTACATGCATATTGCGTTTGCAATTCTGTTTGGTAATACAAGCTGTGCAGAAGCTTTCAACCTCGTTGGTTGCATTTTTTTTTCCAGAAATGGGTAACTCAAGCATGGGGAAGGAGTGGGGATTACTTGGTTTCCTTGTTCTGTCATTATGTTTTCTTGTCAGCAATGGCCAAAACATTGGTAAGGACAGGGATGATTAAGTACATTACAGTATATTCAGTTTGGTCTTGTTGTTGATGAAATTAAAAGTCTCCGTTTTACTTTTCTCAGTGTGTACACAGGAGACCATGGCTGACATTGTATTCCTGGTGGATGGCTCTGCCAGTATCGGGCTGGAAAACTTCCAACAAATCCGTGAATTTGTTTCCTTGCTTATAGAGAACTTAGAAGTTGCCGCTGACAGGATCAGGATCGGTCTGGTCCAGTTCAGTGACACACCGCATACTGAATTTTCGCTCAACACTTACCAGAACAAAGAGGACATTCTCAGGTACATCCAAAATCTACGTTATAAAACCGGTGGGACATTTACCGGCCAGGGTTTGGAGTTCATGCTGAAACAACACTTTGTTGAAAAAGCCGGAAGTCGAGCGCAGCAGAGTGTTCCTCAGATTGCCATTATCATCACAGATGGTGAATCTCAAGATGAGGTTGGGTCACAGGCTCAGGAGCTGAGGCAAAGGGGAATCAAAATATTCGCCATAGGGATCAAAGATGCGAACGAGACTTTACTGAGACAGATTGCGAGCGATCCGTACGATCAGCACGTCTACAGTGTGTCAGACTTTGCAGCTCTGCAGGGAATCTCTCAGAGTGTAATCCGGGAGGTGTGTACCGCTGTAGAGGAAACACACAAAGAGATCATCCAGATGTCAAGAGGTAACATATTACATAAACTATCAATTATGTACATGAACTCTAGTAGTGCCGTGCTTCTCTGGGTCACAGCTTTACAGGAAATTTTTGAGTGAGAGAACCTGATAAGAAATCAGTAGCTAGTTGCAACAAAGCCCTTAAGCTCTTAAAACTTCGTTTTTTTAATGCTTTGAATATTATTTTGATAAAGCCTTGCTTGGGTGTTTAAAACATTTTGAGGGTTAGTTTGAAGTTCAAAGGTTATATAGTTTAAATATTTGTATCAAATCAAAAACATTCCAAGCAAGATTCAGAACATTCTGTCAATGTACATTGGTTTTTTGGTGGGATTTTTGATAATCTGCCATGTGCACGTCTAATCATTTTTAGAAATACAGCATACCTACTATGTGAGAGCAGCCTGAAAGACTGTGATTTTGATGCACATAACTTGAAAGCTACAGACTAGACGTTTTTCATGGAATTGACCCTTCGCAGGCGATCTGACCAGTCATAATGCCGAATCTGCGATTTTGTCAGAAAACCAATTTAGACAGGAGAGTAGATTAACTTTGGTGGACTTAAACTTGAAAAATGTTATGTATTGACCTCTTTCTGTTGTTGAAATAAAATAAGTTCTGATGTTCATTCATGTTTATTCCATAATTTAAGTAACTATGAAAAGATAATTGGTTCACGTGCCAGTTGAACTGAGGCGCTACAGTGATCTGTCACGACACATTAAAGAGCCACAAAATAGTATTTATTGTTTGAAATTCTTAAAAAATTACAAAATTTGAAATGTCAGACCTTGTTTCATACCAGAAGTAACCTGCTCTGTCTTGTCTGTCGGCGAGTTGTCAATTCCCTTTTTGCTCCGCTATGTATTTTTCACTGCGTGAGAACACGATGTGTATTGTGAGAGAGGCATGGCTACTCAGATATAGCAACAGTACCTAAGAAGGGTGAGTTTTTGTGAAGGGTCAATTGTAAGAGATTTTTCTATAGAAAATGTACTCTCATTAGGTAAAAAAGACAGAGCAGGTCGAGTCAGAACAGGCTGACATTAGAAAATAGTGTGGGGTCTCAGGTTAAGGCATCATAATGACAGTGGCACATTTGTAGAACACCCTTAAAATGATCTTTGTATTATTCTGTTTTTACAGACATAAGAATTAAGATCAAGTGGTCAAAGTTCTAATAAAATTCTTCCATTTGCCCTAGGCTGCAACGAAACTGCTCAGGCAGACATTGTGCTCCTTGTGGACTCGTCTGGTAGCATTGGAGCGAGTGATTTTGAAGAAGTGAGGAAGTTCCTCCATGCTTTTGTGGACAGTTTTAATCTTAGACCCGATAAGGTGAGAGTGGGACTTGCCCAGTTCAGTGATAGACCGTACCAAGAGTTCCTGCTTGGTGACTATTTACATAAGACAGACTTGCACCAAAAGTTGAATGGTCTCATCTACCATAGCGGAGGCACCAACACTGGTCGGGCCCTGACTTTTATCCGTGAGAATTACTTTAGCCTGGCCAGAAAGAGTGTTCCTGGCATTGTCATAGTCATCACAGATGGAGAATCAAATGATGATATGGAGGAACCTTCCCAGAGACTACGAAATCTGGGAGTTTTCATCTTTGTCATCCGGGTGGGAATGGGCAACATGGAAAAACTGCGTGCCATTGCTAATATCCCACATGAAGAGTTCTTATTCAGTATCGACAATTATCAAGAACTGCAAGGTCTAAAAGCGGGTCTATGCAACAAAGTGTGCTTTACTGTGTTGCTTCAGTCAGAAGGTAACAGATTTTATTTACTATGCTTTCCTTTTTTGGGTCTTTATGGGATTGTTGAATATAAACCTTAAAATAAATACAAACAAAAACTTACCTGAAATGTACTAGCTTTGAGTCTCATCATACAAATTATTATTTAGATGCAATTCTTAGAAGTAATTCTATTCCTTTGTTTCCATTCTCTTCAGCTTTTGTACCAAAATTTGCTGATCTCTTCATATTGGTTGATAGTTCAGCATCTAGACAAGAGCAGCAAACAATAAAGAGTTTTCTCTCAAAACTGGTCACGCAGCTCAATGTGGGAAAGGATTTTAATCGTGTCGGCCTGGCTCAGTTCAGTAAAAATGTCAAAGAGGAGTTCCTGCTAAATACTGATAAGACCAAGAATGAGATAGTGTCATCTATCCGTAGCCTGGCACTGAGGTCTACAGGGGATCGTAGAATTGGCAATGCAATTGAATATGCTCATAAAAATTTCTTCACTAGTGCCACCGGAAGCCGTGTCTCTGAAGGATTTAAGCAATTTCTGTTAGTCATTGCAGCTGGAGAATCCGCTGATGGTGTCGTCAAAGCATCCCGCGCAATCAAAAAAGATGCAGTGACAGTTTTTGCTGTTGGCTTGAACAGAGCTGATGCAGATGAGATGAAGTACATCTCTAGTCAACCACACAGCTACAAGTTAGGTAACATCCCACAAGTGCAACAGAAAATTAAGTCTTTCATTGACACATGGGAAGATGCTGCAGTTGCAAGGGGTGAGTTCATGCATAATCTTTTAATCTTTCTATAAAACCTATAAACTTTTCTAATTTTCTCCTTTGTTTAGAGAACTTGAAATACTATTTTGTAGTACATTGGGATGTAATGATATTAGCAATATCGTGATATCAAGATAGAAAAATTGTCGATATTATCGTGGTCACATGACTATATGAAATGATAGGTCTTTTGGGCCATTATGCTTTGGCACAGTACTGTATCTGTCAAACGAACTAAAACCGAAAGCACAATATGGCACAATAATCCCTTAATCATATCTGTTTTCGCTGCGCATTTCAAAGCGAAGCGCACACATTATTCAGACGATCAGCTAGTGATCTGGTGTTTTCTGCGCCTCAGAATGGCTCAGTTCACAGTGAATGAATGCAGTGAACTTGATTATTGCACGTGCTGTGAGTTTAGCGCGCATTTGGGAACGCAACAGCCACCCGTTATGCCGAGTTCACAATGCACGATTTTAGCCCTGATTTTCACTCACCGACAGGTTTTGCAAAATCGTCGACAAATGCCCGAAATTGGAGGCAAATCGGTGTTGTTCACGCGAGTGACAATCACGCTGTGTGAATTACCAAAGACGCGATCTGAGAGATTTGGCATGCTAAATATCTGGAGCTATCGGTGATTCAAAATCCTGCTGTGTGAAGCCAAGTTCAAACTACATGACTTTAAATGTCGGCAGATCGCTGTGCTGTTCAGACTACATGACTTGATTGTCTGTCTTTAAGTCGTTGTGGTGTTCACACTATGTGACTATGTAAATGATCCGCAACAACTCTGTCACCCAACGACTCTACAAACCACGTTTTGTCACAAAAACACGCGAGAATTGGAATGGGAATGACGCAAAACAACACGTGAAACAGGAGTTATTTATTTGAAAATGGATGTCGGGAAGAAATTAGCGCTGCAAGCTGTTTGCTCGATGAAAAATGTTGCTCCATTTATTGTGTCCAAACTTTTCTTTAAGCCATGGTGCTGCTGTTGTTTTTCTTCTGGTGACCTCAACCCATGCCTTGCTCTCTCATTGGCTATAGCTCGTCATGACACCTGACACCACGTGATGTCGAGTCGGCCGACCGGTCCAGATATTTGGCATGCTAGATATTTGTGTGCCGTTGGCGAGGTGTTGGCGACGCGTCAGTGAGCCTTTTTGATGCATCGTTGTGTATGTTCACACATAAAGATTGCTGAGCGCCGATCACCCTCTGATTTTCCCCCGATCACAGCCCGACCTGTCGGCGAGCTCGTTAACTTGAACTTCAAACTTAGAAAATCCTTAAACTTAAAATCCTGTAGTGTGAACTAGGCATGAAATGAGTTCTGACTGAAACATACATCGGCGATGAACTACAGCCAATGAGAGAGCAAGATGCAGGGCAGCGGGAAGTTCGGGGAGGACTTTTTTGTTAGATTTGTGTATATAAAATTTTCCCAGCAGAAGTAGGCTATGTTACGAAGTCATCTTTGTTATTGTTTGTTCGGGGAGGACTTATTATAGACCACAATATCAGCAAGATATTTTTCCTTATCACTTCTCGCGTGCATTTGGTTATGAAACGTAGTTTGCGGACCAGACAGAGTTGTCGGTGATTCTTCCTATTGTAAAGTCATGCAGTGTGTAACCTCCTGTCACCGATCTATCGTGCAATGTGAACACAGCAGCAACTGAATGCTACCCCAGATGGTCGTGAAGTGTGAAAACAACGATGATCAGCTGATTTTGAAAATCATGCAGTGTGAACTCGGCATTAGGCTTTATTTTCGTGGCAGATGATTACAGCATTTCACTAAATTTGTAGTGAGACGTGTTTTTGTAAGTATGCTTTCACTGAAGCTGGAGTTTTCCTTCAAAATAAAAGGTCTACTGCCGTTTCCGTCAAAAAAAAAAAACTTAAAAGTGCAGAATGAATTGCTGACAGCTAGCGGTTTAAGTAGAGTCCAAATTCAAAAGATCTCTTTCAAGTGTAGAAATTAGGAAATAAGTATTGTAATTTCTCTACTGTAGTGTAAAGCAAAAATAGTATACCTATGAAATATTCATTTTCATTTATTTTTGTTTTGATTGGCTTCCTAAAACACCACTGTGAATGTAATTTAGACTGAGACAGTATATCACAAATAAAAAGAGGGTTGAGTCCCCTTTAAATTTCAGGTACAAGTCAATTCACTGACTTTTGGGTTGGAGCTCTTAATTTTGAACTCTGAAAGTGCATTAGATAGAATAATTTAACTTTAAAATGTACAAAAATTGAATTTTTTTTCCAATTCTTCCTTTGTCTTTTTAAAAAATATCGCAATAAATATTGTATCGTGGACTTCATATCGCCATATTATCATATCGTGAGATTTTGATATCGTTACATCCCTAGTAGTACATACTCCAAAAGACTCTGGTTTTTAAAGTTCTCATGTCTTTTTGACAGAGTGCATATTTGACGTGGTGGCAGATATCGCTTTTATTGTTGATCAGTCCAGCAATATCAGATCCAAAAACTTCCAACTTTTAAGCTACTTTCTCAAGAACACCATCAGAGGTCTCGATGTAGGTGAGGGAAAAATTAAAATAGCTGTGGTCCTCTATAGTGACTTCCCTCGAGCAGATGTTTTCTTTAACACCTTCAATGATAAGACTGACATCCTACGCTACATCAGCAGCATACCACATGGTCGTGGTAAAACATACACTGGAGCTGCTCTCAAGTTTGCCAAAGAGCATGTGTTCACCAAAGCAAGAGGCAGTAGAAGAGATCAGCATGTTCAGCAGGTTGCTGTTGTTATCACTGATGGAAAGTCAACAGATAATGTGGTCAGTGCTGCAGCAGCATTGCGACGATCTGGCGTCACTGTATTTGCGCTTGGTATCAAAGACACCGACGAGGATGACTTGAGAGAGATTGCATCCTATCCACATAAGAAGTTTGTATTCAGTGTTGAAGGCTTTGATAAACTGCATTCACTTTCAAATATTTTAACCAAAACACTTTGCAATGAAATCACAGATTCCATCATACCTGCAGCCTTACAGAGCTTTGTGTTACAAGGTTGGTAAGATGTTTTTACTCATTTTCTTTTAAATGACTGGCCCTAAAAGCACTTTGAAGAAAAAATCTAATTTCATATCTAAATACTCTAAATCTTCTTTCACTCCACTGCAGATTGCAAGAAAACAATAAAAGCTGACATATATTTTATTCTGGATGAATCAGAAAGCATATCCTATAAAGAATTTGATGATATGAAGAACTTCATTAAGAAATTGCTTGAAGCATTCGAGGTTGGAAATAACCATGTGCGCTTTGGGTTGGTGAAGTTTGCAAGTCGTGCAACCACAGTTTTCCGATTACATGACTATAACACAAAAGCTGATATCAGAAAGGCAGTGAATGCCCTCAAAATTGAGGGAGGGGGCACTGATCTGGGATTGAGAGAAATGATCCCACTATTTGAAGAAGCAGTACGAACACGTGGGGAAAAGGTTCATAAGCTCCTGATTGTCATCACAGATGGCGAGTCAAGAGGGACAGAAGAATCGGTAGAAGTCCCTGCTAAACTTCTGAGAACAGAACAGAATGTCAGTATTTATGCTATTGGTGTGAAAGATGCATCTGTACCAGAGCTGGAATTAATATCTGGCAGCCCACAAAGAATATTTTATGTGAAAAACTATGATTTCCTTGATGAAATCAAGAAAGACATTATTACAGAAATATGTACCTTTGAAGGTGAGATATTCAGCTAATTTGCATATGTTTATACTGTATGTTTTCACTGTTACCTGATTTGCACATTTTTTTTTTAATTGAATGGGTGATGAAATGTCATTATTACGAGATACTAAGTCATTATTACGAGAAAGTTTCTCATTATTACGAGATACTAAGTCATTATTACGAGAAAGTTTCTCATTATTACGAGATACTAAGTCATTATTACGAGAAAGTTTCTCATTATTACGAGATACTAAGTCATTATTACGAGAAAGTTTCTCATTATTACGAGATACTAAGTCATTATTACGAGAAAGTTTCTCATTATTACGAGATACTAAGTCATTATTACGAGAAAGTTTCTCATTATTACGAGATACTAAGTCATTATTACGAGAAAGTTTCTCATTATTACGAGATACTAAGTCATTATTACGAGAAAGTTTCTCATTATTACGAGATACTAAGTCATTATTACGAGAAAGTTTCTCATTATTACGAGATACTAAGTCATTATTACGAGAAAGTTTCTCATTATTACGAGATACTAAGTCATTATTACGAGAAAGTTTCTCATTATTACGAGATACTAAGTCATTATTACGAGAAAGTTTCTCATTATTACGAGATACTAAGTCATTATTACGAGAAAGTTTCTCATTATTACGAGATACTAAGTCATTATTACGAGAAAGTTTCTCATTATTACGAGATACTAAGTCATTATTACGAGAAAGTTTCTCATTATTACGAGATACTAAGTCATTATTACGAGAAAGTTTCTCATTATTACGAGATACTAAGTCATTATTACGAGAAAGTTTCTCATTATTACGAGATACTAAGTCATTATTACGAGAAAGTTTCTCATTATTACGAGATACTAAGTCATTATTACGAGAAAGTTTCTCATTATTACGAGATACTAAGTCATTATTACGAGAAAGTTTCTCATTATTACGAGATACTAAGTCATTATTACGAGAAAGTTTCTCATTATTACGAGATACTAAGTCATTATTACGAGAAAGTTTCTCATTATTACGAGATACTAAGTCATTATTACGAGAAAGTTTCTCATTATTACGAGATACTAAGTCATTATTACGAGAAAGTTTCTCATTATTACGAGATACTAAGTCATTATTACGAGAAAGTTTCTCATTATTACGAGATACTAAGTCATTATTACGAGAAACTAAGTCATTATTACGAGAAAGTTTCTCATTATTACGAGATACTAAGTCATTATTATGAGAAAGTTTCTCATTATTACGAGAAAGTTTCTCATTATTACGAGAAACTAAGTGATTATTACGAGAAACTAGGTCATTATTACGAGAACGTTTCTCATTATTACAAGAAAGTTTCTCATTATTACGAGAAACTAAGTCATTATTACGAGAACGT